GCTCCACCTCTCAGTGGTAGTCCGGCTACAGCGTATCGCGCAATCTCGCTCTCAATCAGATGCTACGCTCTCAATCAGGCGAATATGTTGTTCGCCGTAGGCCAGACCACCCGTTTTATCGATTGGTTGAAGTCATTACCAAAGGTCAGCTGCTTTAGCGATGCTGGCCAAGCAACTCTGGCGATGGCATGGTTGAATGACCTGCCAAGCGACAGAATCCTCAACGATGCGGACCACACTACGTCATCGATGGGCCGGTCGAAGCAATTGCCCATGAAAAGCTCCTGAAGACCAACTGCCACACCACCCGAGCAATAGGCTGGTTGAACTTGGCACCGAGGTCGAGTCTTCGCAAGGATATTGGCCAGGCGACGTTTTCGATTTCGCAGTCGAACGAGTTTCCGACGATGAGAACTTCCAGCGCGGCGGGCCATTGGACGGATCGAAAGGACCGGTTGAAGTTGTGTCCCAGCGTGAGCTGCTGTAGTGACGTAGGCCAGGAAACCCCCGATATCGACTGATTGAATGACTCTTCAAACGTTAGTTGCTGTAGTGATGATGGCCATGACACGTATTTGATTGGCTGGTTGAAGCCTGTTCGAGTGCGCTTTTCGCCCCAGTGGCGGAAGACCGCGCGAGAGCCTGCGTCACGGCGTCCGCGGAAGGCCACTTTACGAAGTCTCGCTGGTCACACTACTCTGACAAGCGGCTGGTCAAAGCAAAAACCGAATTCGATTTCTTGCAGTCCTTCTGAACACACCATTGTACCAAATGGCTTATTGAAGCTGTATCCGAACGTGAGCCGTTGGAGCGAACGGGGCCACGTAATCCCGTGTACAGCTTGATCGAAGCACGCGCCGAAGGAGAGTTACTGCAACGAATCTGGCAGCACCGATCTGCAAATCGGTTGGTCGAAGTTGTATCCGAACGTGAGTCGTTGGAGCGAACGGGGCCACGCACACCCGTCAACGTCTTGGTTGAAGCACCGGCCGAAGCTGAGGTGCTGCAACGAATCTGGCAGCACTGACCCGCGAATCGGATGGATAAAGTGTGAGCCAAACGTGACCTGCTGAAACGAAGCTGGCCACGCCACCGACCGGACTGGTGCATTGAAGTTGTCGCCGAAGGTCATTAGTTTCACTGACGCTGGCCACATGATCCATCGATCCGCTGGTTGAATGAAGACCCAAAGGATATCCGCTGGAGCGACACCGACCACACAACCTTATCAGTTGGACTGTGGAAGGAATGGCCAAATGTGATCTGTTGCAGTGAACCCGGCCGAACTGATCCGTCGATCGGTTGGTTAAAGCCCCAGCCGAAGGTGAGCGCGATTCCGGCCACTTGACCTTGTCAATACGCTGGTTGAACTCACGGCCGAACGTTATATGCCGCAGTGACGCCGGCCACGATACCTTGTCGATCGGCAGGTTGAAACATATCCCGAAGACGACCTCTCCAAGAGAGGCTGGCCACGAAAAGTTCTCCAGCGTCAAGTTGAAACGCGCCGTGAACTCCAACTCCTTCAACCCGTGAGGCCACACGACGGCGCTGCTGCGGAACTTGAAGCTGCGCAGGGAGAGTTCCTCGAGGCCGGCAAACGCAGGTCCTGTGCGTTTCAACGCCAAAGTTGGCAGTAGCCAGGTCGCCTTGACGACTCGGAATGGGGGCACGTTCGCGGCCGAGCTTACCGTTCCGTGACTGCGGTCCCTGGGGAGGGCGGCGTCAGTAGCTCCACCAGCGGCCCACAGATGCTTCGGCGTGTCACTGGACACGCGGAGAGCCAGTCTTGAGAGGCTGCGACACTCCACACAGGATTGGAACGAAATCAACCGCAGCTCAGACGTTGAGGGAAGCCAACCCGCCCCTCCGCTATAGTTCTGGCTGAGGAAGACCGTGAAAGCGTCCAGCCATCGGCTGTGACCTGAGTCAAGTGAGCGAAGACGGGGTGGTGACGAGGAAAAAGGATGAGGGAGGATTTAGATTGATACAGTGGTGGCTACGGTTTGAGTGAGATCATTTTAGAGTAAGACGGATGTAGGAGAGTAAAACTGACTTGTCACGCCTTGCCGATGTATGAGAGAAACTTCCCTCATTATATCCTATTCTCTTACGTCGAAACCAGGAACCAGAAACGTCGCACATAACAACCACGGAAAACCAAGACAACGTGCCCGGGGCAGCGGGAAGCCGCTGCTTCAGCCTTCCCAATCACACGCCAGCACTGCCAGACTTCAGGACGCACCAATGCAGGGTCTGCGGTGGTTAAAGTCCACAGGTTTGGTGGTGATGTGGTCGACCGACATTGCGACAACTTTGAGATGTACAATGTCTGCGCGAGGTATCTGTCTGTGCGCCCGCCCAATACTGGCCCTGGCATTCTCTCTTGTCTCTGTGCCACGTGGCCCGTAGTCGCTCATATTCAAGCCAGGACACGTTGTGCGAGCCGCCAGTCTTGGTTGGCAATCAATACCCTCGACTTCACCATAAATAGTAGTAGTACTACTACTGTAGTACTTCTGTTACCAACCGAGTACGATGGCGGACACACGACTGCTGCCCCCGAGGAGTCGCCCGATTCTTTCGGACGGATCGAGCTAGTCATTTGAATCGTCCGAAACTATTCAGACCCATGACAAGTATGCTCTCATCGTTTAATACATAGCTCGCTGTTCCTAATCAACATGTATGGGTCCAGCGAGCACAGCAAGGCGTGACGCAGCGTTTTTCATGATAATCTTTTCATGGCAGTATAGGTAAGGCATCCGCTCGTAAATGGCCTGATCACAATTTGGCGAAGGAGAGGAAACCCTTTTTATGGGAGTGATATTGGCTTGTCACCACCCTCTCTTAAACCGTAGCCACCACTCTATGGGCATTTGGTCCGTTGCGGTTCAGTACAGCGGCGTAGGAAGCTAAGCACAAGGCTCTGCTTCCAACTTCGTTCTGAAGATCACCGTGTCGTTCAGGAACGTTCGAAACTCTTTCCAGGGTCAATACTTACAACAGGTGTAATAAAAGGCGGTGACCGTCGGCGCGTGCGAGATCGTGACAGGGTGGAAACACGCGGATGGCATCTCTTCGTCAGGTTCGGAAACCTTTTCGCCATCGTTTCTTTTCATTGTTCGTGAGACAACAATCTGCAACGGAACTCCGTGCGCGAATCGTATAGTTATGGGTACGCCAGGTTCCAGCAATAAAATAGTGTTGCAAAATGGAATGGGGTCTTTCGAAAAGAAAAAAACTAAGACTAGAGTGAGGAATTTACAAGAACATAAGAATAAATATGGGAGAAAGGTATGTTGGATTCAAAATGCATTATTATAAAAGCATAGTTTTTTTTGCCATATATCAACAATCACACGGCCGTGCCCAATATCAAACCCCTATTAATAGATGTTTTGGGCGTACGAGGATGCTCGGTGAACTAGCTTGATTCGTGTTCAATCCGTTTGATGATGGGAATGCAACCTAAAAATCACGGCGGTATCGCGTCACAGCACCTAGAAGACCCGGCAGTTCGGTCAAACTTCGGGCTGGTGGTGGTAGGCTCTAGCGCGTTCGAGCAGGGTGGTTGCTTGTGGTGTGCTGTAACTGCAGGCAACAACCTCTGGGGGACAACTTCAAGCACCTCGAACTTACGCTACATGACCTAGTCTAACCTGACACGCGGCACAGTTTTAATTGACGGGATTGCTAATACTCGTGTAATTTCTCCAAAACGATGTGGAGGCTTGTTTCTCATAGGGCCTAGCTGGAGAAGGGAGACCATTGAGGGTACAGTGGCGGGGGCAACGTCAAGAGTATTTTCGCTACAATTCGAGCTGTGAGAAGAGAATCGTAGCACAACACGTTGGAGAAAAAAACACAATCACGGAGCCTCTTGACACGGCGAACGGCGTGGACACCGGTGTAGCCTTACCCCATCAGTAGACAAAGATCGAGGCAGTTTCCGTTTCTCGTGATGAGTACAATCAAGGGCGAATGAAAAAAATAGGTCGAATAAGGTAGTCGATACATAAAGGGGGAGCCCAGCACGCATGACCGGACCCGAGTTCAGCAGGGATCGCCTCTGTAAAGTCTCTCTATGATGGACAACGATTCTGACAACTATTGGAAGCATGCACCCCTCAATACTTCTTGTACAGTGTCCATTTTGTACGATCGTCTAGGCTATCCCGTAGCAGACGCTGAAACCCAGGGAGAGAACCCATTGGAAAATTCCTGTGAGAGAAAGCAGTCAATGACGTTTGGGAAAGGCTGACATATTTTCCACCGGTCCCCCCCCCACAATTGTTTGCTTGTATTAACTCACTCACTCTTCTTGAAGCAGAACGAATGGAGAATGGTAGACGGAAGTGGAGAGTGTAAGATTCGCACCAGAGGGACTTAGAGCACCACATATCAACCCGACACTCTTGATGGAGATGCGGGTTATTTCTGCTATGATGGTCGAGCGGTGGCCTGTGATGACAGGGCGGATAGCGGAAACGGAGATAATCGGATCGGATACAGTGCCGGCCCGCACTTAAGAATATGGCACTTAAGAATTTGATGCTAAAAAAATCCAAAAAATCCAAAACTTAAGAATTTACCGAAAAGAACACGTGCTCAGCTGCACGCCCTGTTAGGAACAAGAACACACACCTGAGGTGCAAAACTGCTGCGACAAACAAGAACGACAGCAATGCAGCGGCTGCCAGATAAGAATACTCGCAGGGGGAGGTAGGGAAGAGGGGGGAGTGATCCCAGACAGAGTGCAGAGTATCGGATTTGGGAGGGGTACATACCCCACATATCAACATTTGTATTTTTTAGAAGGGGAGGGATGGCATTGTACGCACGCGTCGTGCCCCTGGGTGCCCCCGAGAAAAGCGTGATGCGCGGGCCGGGTGAGCTCCCCAAGGCGAGGTCCATTCTTATGATGGATAACTTGCACGCGCAGACCACGGACGAGTTCAAGGAGTATCTTGCGAAGCACTGCAACACTCTCGCCTGGTATGGCCCTTCGGAGTGCACGGACGGACGAGGTGCAGCCAGTTGATGCAGGAGCCGGACGATTTCTCAAGGTGGAAGTCGGGAGGCAGATGGACATATGGCTCGACCAGTCGGACAACCTCGAGAGGTGGGAAACCGCGTCGCTGACAGCTTCTGATCGGCGCGTCCTGATCATCACTCAGTGGATGGGAGCGGCCATGGCAAGACTCAACAGCCAACAGGCGTACCGATACCGTCTTTTCGAAAAGTGCGGGATGGCCATGACCGTGGACGGCTCGGGCGATGATCGAATCACCTTGGAGGGTTTGGACAAGCCGTATACCTTCGCAAACGATGAAGACGGTAGCGACGACGAGCAAGGTTCGGAGAACGGCAACGATGAGCCTGAGGGGCGGGCGGAGGAGGGCGATGGAGGACGTGAGACGCTCATGGAGGGCGTTGACTCCAGCGATGAAGACGACGGCGGTAAGTTTGTTTTGCACAAAACCAACTCTTCATCTTCTTTTTGTTGATGATGATGTCCTTCATGTTGACGTTAGCTTGTTTCAGCGCACGGCTACACTCAAATTATGATAAGTTCAGGTTGAGTTTGGCGACGTGACACCCTAACTTGTTGTGTTTCCCGTTGCCTCGTTCGCAGACATCTCTCAACCCCAGACCGACGAGCTAGCTCTTCTGGACGACGACGACAGCATGGACCCACAAGACCCGGAGGATGAGATACAGGGAATGGAGATCCCGGCAGGCTTTCGTATTCAAGAAGCTAAACCCGTTGTTCTTGACAGATTGCTTTTGCAGCGTGGAGTGCTCGTTAGGCTGGGCATGGGGTGCTTTGGAGGGCTGATCACTCAACAATCTCAGAAGGACACTCGCCACCTGTACGACTACTGTGTGCAGCTGGAGCTAGACCAGAGTACGCACAAGATGAAGTTGCCCTTAAACAAGTACAGCGGAGATTCGGATGCGGCTTTAGGCTCCTGTTTTTTGTTTTCTTAATATCACACAACAAATCCATCTCTATCTATAGAAACAAGCCTAAGATAGTGTAGCAATGAATCCATAGCGTGAGCGAAAGCTACCTGTATGTCCACGGTTTCCCANGTGCTTTGGAGGGCTGATCACTCAACAATCTCAGAAGGACACTCGCCACCTGTACGACTACTGTGTGCAGCTGGAGCTAGACCAGAGTACGCACAAGATGAAGTTGCCCTTAAACAAGTACAGCGGAGATTCGGATGCGGCTGTAGGCTCCTGGTTTTTTTTTTTTTTCTTAATATCACACAACAAATCCGTCTCTATTTTTAGAAATGAGTCCAAGATAGATTAGCAATGAATCCATAGCGTGAGCGAAAGCTACCTGTTTGTCTACGGTTTCCCAGACAGCATACAACGATAACTAACTCCCCTGTGGGCAACAGGCTCAACAAGGCAGTTTGGTAGCCATCTTGTGTATCTATCTGCATGTTATGTTGGGAAGTTGTAGACGGAAGATTTAGGGGAACTCGGTTTGTCGGGTGTTCTAATATGGCACCCTTATGTGGTTGCGGAGCAAGCGCGTCTCGGAGTGTGTATATTTTCGTCATCAACTTTCTTTTGTGTGTGATGTGTGGGAGCATGTGCGGGACGGTGTTGTGTAATTGCACGTCATTAAGTGTGCGAAGGGCACGGGAGAACATTATCGCATCATTGCCTCCTGACGTGGCCGCCGATAGACTCGAGAGGCGTGTGGTTGAGGTTTCATCACCGACATGTGGGTGTGTGTTAAATGCAGTGGGTATGGTCACCTCTCTCGCCCGTGTGTCTGCAGAAAGTATTGCTACCTTCCCCATTTGTAGACAGCGCGGACCAAAAGTAAAGACAGAGTGTATCATTTCATGCATCTACATCAGTTGTATGTGGAAAGGGAGGAATGAGGGGTTGTTCAATTTTGACGGTGTGTGTATGGGTAGGGGGAGTACTCCCTGTGTCCGTGTTGTTCCCAGATGTTGTCGCATCAAGTGGCAGCATGTGTCATGGACAGGTAGACGTGGAAGGGCAGCGACGGGTGAACGGCAGCAGCAGTGTGTTGTGCATGGTGGCATGTTGGGTTTGTACAAAGACGCAGTCCATCTTCGACCACACACAAAGGAGTTTGTCCGTGCCTGTCGGAGTTTTGGAGGGCCCAAGTCGGTCTCAAGCAGCAGACGGAAGGAGCGAACAGGCGCAGTGCTTCTCTACAGCTTTAGACTCCGTCCTCCTCAAATCCTAACGGAGAGGATTACGTATCGCACAACGACTGGATCCGAATTGCCGGCTAGCTCCGAAAACCACGAGAGGTGGGGGAGTAGCTCAGACGAATGGCTGCGTGTGCGCTCCTTCATGTACATACTTGGCTGACTCTTTGAAGGGNATTTGCCGTTGTCACCTGGATGCATGGGACACGTAAATTTGTCACTCTACTTGCAAGGGACACGTTTCATTTTCAGTGTTCCCCCTTGCGGTTTTGCTTGAGAGCATTAGTAGACCAGGAAGGGTACGCAGGACCAACGTCACCCTTGTGGACCAAGAAGGTTGACAGTTGCTGCTCCATGCCTTGGTATTTTCTTGTATCGACAGCAGTACTAGTGTTGCTCATGGTTGACAGCCGACAATATAGCAAATGATATTAAAATACTGTAAGAACAAGAACGCCCCTTTCTGGAGAAGAACGGACGACGAAATAAGAACTTGGCAAATAAGAACTGGTGCTCGGGTTGGGGCCGCCAATAAGAACTGAGCCTCGCCCAATATTGGAGGTTCTTAAGTGCGGGCCGGCACCGTCACCATCGTCCACTTTGCTCTAGAAGCATCTGTTCGTGTGTCTGGATACGAGCATGGTAGATCTGCTAGCAGCACGGGGGGGTACGTAGACAGGATCATGCGTATGCCTGAAAAAGGCTACTATGTGTGGGCCCCCTTCCCCGAATTCGGGAGGGCCACTTCTTCCCTTCCTTTCCTCGCTCCCGTGGGTGCCTAATCAGAGAGAGTTAAAGCGTATCTTCTCCTCCCAAGTACGGACATACCAACAGCATCAACAAATGGATCCAACGCCAGGACCCGCCTTCTAAGACAAAGCAGCAAGTATGGCAAACAACGATGCCGGAAGTTTCCACCCGGCTAGATCTAGCCTCCTTGCTGCTTCTTTTTTGACATCCGGTGGCCTTGGCAAAGCACAATCGGGTAATGGTTGTTGTTGTTTGTTGTATATTTCACATTAAACTCGTGTCAGTTGCTAATCCGATAATCTAGCAAAGACTTGTTCGTGGGTCTACGGACATGGTTTGGATACATTAGCCATACGTACAAGTGTGACGCAGATGGTGTAGAACCTTTTAGGTAGGGGTACGGTGATGATGCACCGGGACCCCCTTTGTTGAGTGCAGCAGCCGCGCTGCCACTCTCTCTTTCTCCTCCTGCTTTCCGAGCACGACAGCGTCCTGGGTACGGGCGTTGTCTCACCGTCTGAAGTTAATACACTACACAAACAAGTCCCGATAAGTACGCGGAGTACGGCCGACAAACACT